AATCTCCCAATTCATCCCACCCTCCCCTTCCCCCACTGTGTCCATATGTCTGTTCTCTACGTCTGTGTCTCTATTCCTGCCCTGCAAATAGGGCAGTACCATTTTTTCTAGATTCCACATATATGCATTAATATATGATATTTGTTTTTCTCTTTCTGACTTACTTCACTCTGTATGACAGACTCTAAGTCCATCCACATCTCTACAAATGACAACCCAATCAAAAAATGGGCAGAAGACATAAATAGACATTTCTCCAAAGAAGACATACAGATGCCCAAGAGACACATGAAAAGATGCTCAACATCACTAATTATTAAGAAATGCAAACCAAAACTGCAGTGAAGTATCACCTCACACTTGTCAGAATGGCTATCATCAAAAAACCTACAAACAATAAATGCTGGAGAGGGTGTGGAGAAAAGGGGACCCTCTTGCACTGTTGGTGGTCCTTTTGAAGAGCAGTGTATATGAGCATTATTTCATCATGCTGTGAGCATATTTTGTCAATCTATCCTTGTCCCTGTCAAAGGTACAAAGTAAAGCTTAATCCCAGTGTTCCTCTCTGAGTAGCTATGTTGATTGTCCTTTAGATCCTCATGCATGAGTAGGTACCAGTCTACTCTGACCCACAGCTCCAACGGTCACAATACAAGCTTTTCCCATGGTCTCATCGAGCCTTTTCTCTTGGCATGAGATGCAAAAAAGCCACTCCAGCCTGCCTTTTCTCCATGGTGGAACTCAAAGTGCACCTCATTTTCTTACCCCAAATCTTTAGATCCTTAATGTGGATGAGGAAAAATAATTGCAAAAAAATTTTTTGGAACTGTCCTTTGCAAATATGGAATTACCAACCTGTATTGGATATGAAAATGTTGACTTCTATTTTCTTGGGGCCCTGAGTGAAACAGACTAAAGTCAAAGACTTAAATGGTTTAATTTAGATAGACTGTTAAGTGTATTTACCTAGATTCTTTGACATTCTTAGAATTAGCAGGTAAACATTACGGATTCAGGTTAAAATTTTCAACTCAGTGTCCTTGGACACAATCAACTGAGACTGTGACATTGTACACAAAGCAGATTGCCACTGATCCATGACTTAGTCCAGTTAGAATGTCTGTGGTGTCCTCAGCTCATTTCTTAATCAGCGACTTTTGTAAAAGTAGTGAGGACAGAAATATTTTAGAGATTAGTTCTTATATATACATAGACCCTTTTCTAAACAAAGGATACTTAGGGTCAATACTTGAGCATTTGCCCTTTAGAAAGGGAAAAATTCAGAGTGTAAAAATGTAAAATAGTACATTGGCATTCATAGCAGGATGCTTGCATTAACAAAATTTACAGTGTTTTTGAAGAGAAGTAATGAGAACTTCTTTGTAGCTTCAGTAGCAATGTATAATACAGCACAATGAAAAATGGTATTTTAATTTTCATGCATGACCTCCACCAGAAGTGTTAATCCTGTGCTAGACCCTATAATTCTCCAACTGTTTGAGGTGAAAGAAAAATGATATTCCATGTCTTTCACAGCTAGAGCATATGTTTTGGAGAATCTAGAGGGTGGAAGAATTCATGTAATAAAGAGCAAGGCCCACCTGGAAAAATCCAAGTGTTTTACAATTGAACAGGACATTAAGCAATGGATTATTCTATCAAGTACTAAACTTAAGAGCAAGTGCTGCATTTAAAATAGGTTAAAAGGTAAAATTATTAAAATTTGATTATATTTACCAAAGACATTATTACAGTGATTAAAGTTTTGAAGGTATATTACTTAAAATAGTCAAAGCATTTTGCAACAGTCAAAAGTTTTTACAAAAGGTGAATTTAAACGGTGCATAAGAATTTCTGTGTTAGATAGGAAGGTCGGGTTTATAAATATGATATGTTAGTTCTGAGAGACCCAAATGTAGGACTTAGAAACTGAATGTGCCTTGTGTCATTACCCTGAGGACAGATAAAACATAACTCAAACTGCAGGCGTCGTCTCTGATAATACCTAGAAAGTATCCTCTTTCCTCAGAATGACTGTTAATTTCAAGTTTATGAGGGAAATGAGTCAGAGAGACACACAAGCTCACCTCAAGCTTTGTTATCTGAAAGACAGTCATACATGAAGGTCAGATGAAGTTCAGGAGCTCAAATATCCACAGGGGACTTTTGGGAAAATTGATAAAGCAAACAGCTTATGAGTTCATAGAATGGCACTGACTCTGAGGCTTAGCGTGAGAGAAACTCTGGAAAAGGGTGCATCCTGGAATCCACAAAAGGGGGCATTAAGCACCCAGCTCCTGCTGACTATAGCCATGTAGGCTAACAGCCTAGCATCACTGCATTTTCTAATTTTTCAAAAAAAAGTCAGGAACATGGATTTTTATGTGAAAATTTTCAGTGGTTGAACATTAGGAAGGAATGCAATACTTTTTGAACACCAGTGGCCAAACGGAACCCATCAATGGTCTTGGTGTGCCTGGGAGATACTCATGTGAGACCACTGGTCTTTATTTATCTGTGTGTCTCAGAGTGTTGTCCTTGGCCCACATGCCTCAAAATCACCCCAGACTCCTGAATCTGCTAAGATCCCAGTCTGCTCCCGTGAGCAGCCTTTACTGCTCTTTATAGTCACAACCCTTGTTTGCATGAAACTATTAACAAAATGAAAAGGCTGCTTACTGAATGGAGAAGATATTTGCAAATGGTAAGGCTGATAAGTTGTTAATATCCAATGTATACAAAGAACTCAAACAACTGAGCACCAAAGAAAACAACCAACCAATTAAAAAATGGGAAGAGGCCTGAATAGACCATTTTCCAAAGAAGACATACAGATGGCCAACAGACACATGAAAAGATCCTCAATGTCACTAATCATCAGGGAAATGCAAATCAAAAGCACAATGAGATATCACCTCACACCTGTCAGAATGGCTATTATCAAAAAGATAACAAATAACAAGTGTTGGCAAGGATGTGGAGAAAAAGGAAGCCTCATGCACTGTTGGTGGGATTGTAAATTGGTGCACCCACTGTGGAAAACAGTATGGGGGTTCTTCAAAAAATTAAAAATAGAACTACTATATGATCCAGCAGTTTTACTCCTGAGTATTTATCCAAAGAAAACAAAAACACTAATTTGAAAAGATATATGCACCCCTGTGTTCATTGCAGCATAATTTACAAGAGCAAAGATATGGAAGCAACCTAAGTGTTCATCTATATATTAATTGATAAAGAAGGTGTGATATATATATGTATAATGGAATATTGCCCAGTCATGAAAAAGAATGGAAATCTTGCCATTTTCAACAACATGCATGGACCTAGAGGGTATTATGCGAAGTGAAATAACTCAGGCAGAGAAAGACAAATCCTGTATGATTTTACTTATATGTGGAATCTAAAAAACAAAACAAATGAACAAACATAACAAAACAGAAACCGACTCATAGATATGGAGAACAAAAAAGTGGTTGCCAAAGGGGAGGAGTGTGGGGGTAGGAGAGAAATAGGTAAGGGACATTTAAGTGACTTCCAGTTACAAAATAAATGAGCCATGGGGATGAAATGTACAGTGTGGGGAATATAGTCAATAATTATGTAATATTTTTGTATGGTGAGAGATGGTAGCTAGACTTACCCTAGTGATCATTTTGAAATGTATTGAAATATTGAATCACTATGTTGTATAACAGGAACTAACAGTGTTGTAGGTCAATTACACTTCAAAAACAAGCACACAATTAACTCATAGAAAAAGAGATCAGATTTGTGGTACCAGAGGTGGGGTTTGGGAATAGGGGAAATTGGACAAAGGTAGTCAAAAGATAGAAACTTCCAGTTATCAAATAAATAAGTACTGATACTAGGGATGTAATGTAAAGCACAATAAATATAATTATCACTGCTGTATGTTGTATATATGAAAGCTATTAAGAGAGTAAATCTTAAGAATTCTGATCACAAGGAAAAATTTTTTTTCTTTTTATTTTGTGTCAAAATGGGACGATGGATATTCACTAAACTTACTGTGGTAATATTTCATGATGTATATAAGTCAACTTTATGCTGTACATTTTCAGAGTTTATTGTGCATAGAAGAACAGTTCCTGACTGGGAGTATTCAAACCAGTAGTGGAATGAAGCACAGAGGCATGTTGTTCTAGGACAGCGTATATAGTGGAAACATGGAAGCTGTTTAATCTTTATAATAATTGGTTGTAGCATTAGGGTTTTTCCAATGACAGGGGATTGGCTAAAAGATTATGTCATTTTTGGAAAACAATTTAGGTGTTGTTTATGATTTTCAGAGGCATTTACAAGAAACAACACAAATTAAATTTTGCTTATGTTGCAGGATAAGCTAAATTAGGTTTCACGTACCTGGTTTTGTGTGTTCAAGGAATTTTTCAACTCTGGTGTCCATTTTGTATTTTATTTTGACAGAGATGATGAGTAAACACGTAATGAAGGTAATTTTCCCTGTGCCAAATAAAATTCTAAGCCTGTGGTTTGAATGTACATAGACATAAATTGTGATATTCCTAAAATAAATCTCCTCCTCTTCCCCCTCCCCTCCACTCCCTCTCCCTCCTCCTCCTCCTTTACTGCAGAGAATTTAAAACATTTCTGTAAATTATTTGGCATTTTCCCATTAAAAACTGGAGCCTAATTTCCCTCCTCATGAATGTAGGAATGTAGGCCAACCTTAATAGCTTTCATATATAACATACAGTAGTGATAATTATATTTATCGTGCTTTACATTACATCCCTAGTATCAGTACTTATTTATCTTATAACTGGAAGTTTCTATCTTTTGACTACATTCGTCCAATTCCCCCTCTGGTACCACAAATCAGATCTCTTTTTCTATGAGTTAATTCCTTCTAATTATTAGAATGGGTTGAGAGTGGCACTGTGTGGGTTTTCATGCTAGATCATAAAAGGCATATACCTTCTGCTTAACCTCTTTCTCTCTCTCTCTTTGTTTTTCAGAACTTGTGCTGTTTATAGTAAGAAGTCCAGCTACCCTGAAGCAACCATTCTAAAGAGACCATTTTGAGACTGTACCTAAGAGAAAGATGCCTAAGGAGGGGCTCTTCTAGACGCCTGTTGTTTGAGCTCTCTAATTATCAACCTACCAACATCAATAGGTGGGTGAATAAGCCTTTGGATGACTCCACTCCTCTGCATACAGTCAGACTTCTTCTCAACTTTTGGAAAAGCTCAAACTTTTTTATTGCCCTCAACTTCATCTTCTCCCACTCAAAGCGTCAACCTCCATCCTAAATGCTTCCCAGTCGTCCCGAAACATAGACTTTACCTGGACAATTGTTATCTCTCCTGTCATACCCCTAGTCAATGACAGTATAAGACCAAGTTAGCTCCTTAAGATATACAAAGCTAGTTATTTTCTCAGGTGGCACTGGAAAAAAGGGTTGCTAGTATTAGTTTACTTCTTTCTTAATAACTCACCTTGGTGGATCTGAGTAGAATCAATGAACCTAAATTGTTCAGAAGGATGCTCTGGGGATACTTATGCATTGTATTGGAAGTTTTGGCATTTAGAGATGGTGCTTTCTGTTGCTTTTTAATTCCCTGAAGAATATAATACAGTGAAGCTTCAATGAATTGGAACATATGGAATATGGTTATTAACAAACATCATTTTGAATTTAACATTTACTAAATTTTGTTCTTGATTTTGTGTTATCTTGATTTTAATTATACATTTTAATAAAAATGTATTTAATCTCTCCTTGATGCCTGAGGACACTGAATAAATATCCTCAGACTTACTGCTCTCAATCTTAGAACTGAACATGTATTGACTGCAAGATAGCCTAAAAAGTTACCTGTAATATGTTATTATCACTAGGTTGCAAAATATTTTTCTATTAAATGAGAATAAGGATCCTTCAGAAATTACAGAGAAGACACTATGTGGTTGTTAGCAAAAATACGGACTTCTGGGAAAATTTCTTAACAAACTTTCTTCTTGGCTTGTGACTCTTGAGAGATCCTAGAGCCAGAGAAACCAAAGTGATTTAGCAGCCTTTTCTAAAAGCGGACTTTTATTTCTGTATTTATTTATTTATTTTTTTAAAAGCAGTCCTTCTCTTCTTGTTTTCAGAAGAGACAGACCATTCTTACAAAACTGGGACTGGTTAACCATCATCCCTCCTATTTTAACGCAAGACCTGGTGGGCGGTTGTCTCCCGTATGAAAGTTACTGAGCAGACGTGCTGGACTCTGCCAAGACAGAGAGAGAGGGACTGGGAACAGATGACAAAGGTAAGAGGAGGCGTGCAGAGGCAGCATGGCAAAGATGTATGACTTTTCTGTGCTTCTGGGGAACAGTGCAAAATGTTGACTGAGGTTAAACAATCATGGTAATACTTAGTTTTAAAATGAAGAGGACTGAGTCTCAAGAGCTGGAATGACACTTCTAATAACCAAAGGTGACAGAAAAAATGAATAGACTCAAACTGAACTGCCACTAAAGATGACTGCCATTCGGCAGAAAAGGGGTGAGGGATGGTTAACAGATCAGATTTGTAGAAGTTATTGGAAAATAAAATTGTTCCATGTTTATACCCCTGTGAGTCAAGTCTATTCAGTCAAACTGAATATACTTCTTTGCACACTGTTGCTTGTGATTTGTCTTTTTGTCCTAAAATTAAGTGTTGAAACCACACTGATTAACTGTAGTCTGGTGAGTGGGTTCTATTTCCTAGAGGTTTTATTGGCCATTGATGTGTGGTAATGGCACCTTCGATATATAGACTAATTTTTCCCATCACTCATGAAATAAACTAAGAGCAAGGCGGGAGTGTGGAGATTATAATGACAACAAACGTAGAAAAATATCACAGTGGGGAGAGAATTAAGCTTGTAAATATAAAGAGGTATTAGGCAAACTTTATATGTCAGTATTTGTGTGTGTGTGTGTGTGTGTGTGTGTGTGTGTGTGTGTGTATGAGCCTAATAATATTTTTAAGCTATCTTCAAGGTAAATGAGCTAAGTAAAAAACTGATGTTTAAGATGTGTTTATCAGCTAATATAGCAACAAATGACTCAAATTAAAATCTAAGGTGAAAGATGTATGTGTCTAAATTGGTAATATAGTACATCTATATTCTGGATCAGTTTTTTAGTATTTCACTATTTTTAATATGAATTTGATACATATTTGATATATATTTTTATCTGAATTTGATAGATATTTGATCATGAACCCCATGATAAAATTTTATCACACTACCATAACTTCTTGATGGTTCAGGACACATGATTTCAAGCCTTCTATTATGATATCTCCATGAATTTAGTCATTCCTGTTGTTCCAGGTATCCTAGTTTTCAGGTAAAACTGCTTTGTAGCAAGGCCTTTTAGCAACATATTTTAGCAATTATATTATTTTAGTATAAGATGTTCTCTATCAAATTCCCACCTTTTGGCTAGTTTCACAAGTCCTACCCTAGAAATGATTATTCATATAAGATACTAGTCATAAAAAAGGAGTAAGTGGAACTAATTTCTTTCCATTTCTGAATTTCATTATATCTGTTGGTGCACACTAATTTCCAAGTTATGAATTTCTCAGTGATATTACTTTTATATAAAAATGATTTTTAAAATAAAGTTAAAAATCATAAAGATATACTATAATGATTTGATGAAGGATAGTGACTTGTACCTCATTTTTCGTAGTAAGAATCTGTACTTTAGGAATTAATTTTTAAGTGTATACTAGCAATACTTACTATTTTTCAAGGTAAATTTCTATAGATACAGCACTTTATCTGAAGTATAACAAACATTATCTGCAGTGTAAGGTCATGTTCAAAAAAGACCTCAAAAGAATTCATTGTGAATTTTCTCTGGTAACTTGATTTAAGTTCAATAAAGCTAATGAGAAAAATGAAATAATTTTCATAAATAATCAGAAATAACTTCCCAGAGTTCACTGGAATGAAACTATGTAACTCTGGGAGACCATAACAAATGAGATATTTTATGAATATTGTTTATTTAGAAATTTGTAAAGCGTGAGGAATTTCTAAAATATAATTTTGAAAATGAGGCAATCAAATGATTATTTTTTTACATAATCATGAGTAGAATTGAGGATGAAAATCATCAGAACCAATATAATAATAAACATAATTGAGCTCTCAATATGGCAGTACTATATAGGCAGTACAGTAAGTACTTCACATGTATTGGAATGTTCAGTCCTAACAATAGTCTTATAAGGTAAGTAGAGATGTGCCAGAGCAGATTTGTACTGGCTTATGAGAACCAGTAGTTAAATTTTTAGGAATTTTGTTAGTTAGTTGATATCAAGTTGTAGTAGTTTGAAAGTTGCCATAGTGGAATAATTTACACCATGGAAGTCAGTAAGCACTACAAAGTATGGCTACCCACCCCACCCTCTTCCCCAACGGCCAGTTGTTAAACATTTGCCAGCATACCACTGGATAGATACTATTGTTACCCCTATGTTGCAAATGAGAAGATTGAGACATAGAGGAGTTAAGTTTCCCAAAGACTCAACACTGAAACAACATGGTAGATGTGGAGTTAATCCATGTGGTCTGCTATCCTGCTTCAATAAGTAGAAAACTTAGGAAATTTTGAGAAAAGTTCTAGTCAATTTAGGCTGTAGCTGACTCATTCCACAGAAGCCTATTTTCCCATTCACTGTGATAGCAGTTGTTTCCAACACAAGGTGGAAGACTTTCTGCCACTTAGACTAAGATTCCATTGGAAAGGTAGTTGCTTCATTCCATGGCTGAGCTGTCCACACAGGACTTCATTTTCACGGTCAAGGTTCAGGGCATCATTCCCTCTCTCCTAGATGATGACAACACCTTCCTCTAGGTTTACCTCCTCAAATCCATTCTTTTTCCTGCAGCTAGAGGACTGTTCAAAACACGAATCTAGTCATGTCATTTGATTTTAAATACTTTCAAGGATTTTCCATTGTTCTCGGGATCAAGTCCAAATTTTCTGGTCATTGGGGTTCTGGCTCCCACTTACCATCCCACTTTATTTCTTACAGTCCTATTTACTATTCTATATGCTGAACTACCTGTAATTCTTCTAATGTCTGCTTCTGTCTCTGCACCTCTTACTGTCTCTCATGTTTCAGTAGCAGTTCTTTTTTTTTTTTTTTAAGAAGATGTTGGGGGTAGGAGTTTATTAATTAATTTATTTATTTTTGCTGTGTTGGGTCTTCGTTTCTGTGCGAGGGCTTTCTCTAGTTGCGGCAAGTGGGGGCCACTCTTCATCGCGGTGCACGGGCCTCTCACTATCGCGACCTCTCTTGCTGCGGAGCACAGGCTCCAGACGTGCAGGCTCAGTAGTTGTGGCTCACGGGCCTAGTTGCTCTGTGGCATGTGGGATCCTCCCAGACCAGGGCTCGAACCCGTGTCCCCTGCATTAGCAGGCAGATTCTCAACCGCTGCGCCACCAGGGAAGCCCTTCAGTAGCAGTTCTTGAACATTCCTAGTCTTCCAGGCAGCACAGGAATTAGGACCATGGGAACATTTTCTGCATATTAAAAATATAACTTTACAGGTATTACACATTTTATATATGTATCATATATTCATTTTTATTTAAAGTCCTTTTCTTCTATTGTTTAATGATGTGATGATTTGATAAATAGTAGCCAGCACTTTTTCATTCGTAAGTATTGATTCCTGTTTAGGTAATTTGCATTTATATGTACTTGGTTCTTTCTCCCTCTATCGACCCTCTACACCCCAATAAATTGAATTTCAGACAAATGTGGGAACATGCAATACTAGGGAAAATTATTTCCTACCTCTATTTCTTGTGACTGAGTTTCATTTTAAATATTGCAGTAAAGAAAATTGGACCTCTGAGGCCGAGGTCCATTTTAGCATTTCAATGTGCCTAACACTATTGTTCAGCAAATATCTGTGGAATCAAATAAAAGACTAAAACTCCCATTCAGTCAGCTGGAAAATTGTGTTAGCCTCCTCAGTGCTCTCAGTTTTTTATACTGCTGTCTAAAATGTCCAGATAGCTAAGTACTCATATCTTAATAAATAGATGAAAAGAGATTAAAAGGAGTTAATTCAAGAAAATTCATAGAAAATACCTACGTGACTAAAAAACATCTAATAAAAGTAAGTACGGTGAGGTCATAGTTACTCCAGTTTGGTCACATTAACTGGTGAGAGATCTGATGTCTTGAGAAAAGGGCCTGAAAGAGTGGACATGCAAATGGGAATACTGATTATACCTGGGTTATGGGAATATCAGGGACAATAGTTTGCTTGGTTCTTTTCAAGAGCAGATATACTTACCTGTTGTCATCTGTAAAGAACTATAATACAGTACAAATATAAGTTACATGTACACAAAAACAGTATTTTCAATTAAAGGAAAAGAAGACATGATGAAAAAATTAGAAGACTGATTACTCAGGTTAGTGCCCAATGCAATTTATATTAATCAAGCTTAAGCAATAATTTAAACCTTTAACTCCAGGACAAAAAACTCCTCTTAACTTTGTAGTTGTGAAATGTAAGGATGTTAAAGAATCTTTTTTTTTTTTTAACATCGTTATTGGAGTATAATTGCTTTACAAGTGTGTTAGTTTCTGCTTTATAACAAAGTGAATCAGCTATACATATACATATGTTCCCATATCTCTTCCCTCTTGCGTCTCCCTCCCTCCCACCCTCCCTATCCCACCCCTCTAAGTGGTCACAAAGCACCGAGCTGATCTTCCTGTGCTATGCGGATGCTTCCCACTAGCTATCTATTTTACATTTGGTAGTGTATATATGTCCATGCCACTCTCTCATGTCAAGGGATGTTAAAGACTCTTTAAAGCATTTACCACTAATTATTTCAAGACGGGAAATATGAGTTTTGAGGACAGGGAACTGAAACGCTGAGCTTAATGGTAAGAAAGAAAAAAATGAAAGAAAAGAAAAAAAAATACTTCTTAAGAATGTTGGCAAGATTTGTCCAGGCAATACACAGCCTGGAAGATAATTTCTCCCTCTAAATTCAAGAAAGTCTTTAATATTCTTTCTGTCTCACCTGCAGAACAAAAGATATTTGAAAAAGTTATTCAAAGACTGAAAGGATTTTTCAGAGCATATTTGAATCTAAGGTGGATTTTGCATATCTTGAGATTTTTGACTTGCTGTGGGTGAAATAGCAAAATAGGGAAAGGACAACTAAAGCCATAAAATACAGTTGATCAAAAACTGTATTCAAGATATAAAGTCTTTATATTTTAAGG